TATGATAGTGATTTTAATCACTGTCAGATATCATCTATACTTGTCCCATCTATACCTCGTCCACACTGTGCCTCAACCCCACTGTACTACCGTTTTTTTTATTAACTTTTATGACTGTTTTTACCATGAAAACAAAATAAAGTCGGAAATTTTTTTTTCCATAATAAAATATATTACATTAGCTTTAATTTAAGATATATATAAAAATGTCAGTATTTCTGGAACACTTTCAAAAATTAAGCTGAAAAAATTCTACTTTCTATATGCATTTTTAAGATTTGAACCCACCCTGTATTAGAGGAAATGGTCCGATTTAAAAAAAAAGTAAATCGAATGAAAAAAGAATATAAATATTATTTCGCATAAAAAAATTGTATTGATCCATACATTTTTCAAAAAGTTATAGTATTTTAAAGTTAAAAATGTAAAATATAAGATCGAGAATTTTAACACAAAAATAGAATACAGTAGTCATTTTCACCATGAAGCGTTTAATTTGATAGTGATTTTAATCACTGTCAGATATCATTATACCTGATTCAACTATGCCACATCACCACTGTGCCGTGACCCCCCTATGCTGGGTTTTTTATTTATTTATTTATATTGATTTAAGTTTGACTATAATTTGTTCTTTTAATTTTCTTTTAGTGTTGAGAATCTTAACTTATTACACACAACTTTCTCGTTACCGATTTGTTCACTGTAAAGATTTTTATATTATTTGGTGTTTAATTTCTTAACTTACCAATAATCAAGTCTAAGTGAAATATTTATTAATAATTACACATTTTATAAGGTTTTCAATGAAAACCTTACAAAATTTTATAATGAAAACTTTTCATGTATAAAATAATAATTTAATTTTTCAAATATATAATAAAATATTAAAAAAAAAAACAAATTATAAATATTTTAGAAAAAGATATTCAAACAAATAAAGCAATTTTAACCAATGTTCAGATCACTAAAAAAGATAAAATAAGAAGTTAAGATAAGTTCATCCTATAATAATATTAATTTCCTCTTAGAATCTTTAATTTATCCGCGAAGCCCATCTTATGAAATTTTGACTTCAAGTTAAATATTCTAAAATGTTTACTATGTATTAAAGTTAAAGTTAAATATTCTAAGTGTAACAAGAACTCTTGTGAAGTATTTACAATAGGATATAATTCATTTGTGATTATACTATTTAATTTAAAACTCAATTGTGTTGTGTACTACTTTTCATTTAAAAAATGATGTATTATCTGTTGAGCATTAGTAACAAAATGTATTAAAATTTGTTTTGGTTTTTCAACTTACAAGTAATTATTTGATTTTGTGTTTGAAATGTTTTATAAAAAATTAAAAATTCTTTGTCATTAAAAAGATTTGTATCCTCTTTCATAAATTTAACATGGTTTATATAGAAATTTACCTAACAATTTTTTACCGAGATACCCAACAAAATATACATTGAACAGGTCTCTAAAGTTAATGTAGGAACAGAAATCAGTTGTTCTTGTATAGTAGGACAGGAATTAGGGAAGGAAGATATTTCAGATGTGTCTAAACTATAATCGGATAGGATTTTCAGTTGTAGTTTCGTCGTTAGTTTCGTTAGTGGAAAATATAGGTAAATCCAAAATATCAGTGTCATCATCTAGCTCACAATTTGAGGTTTCAGATGATCTCATTAAATTGTGTTTAGCTCGAATTCTAAATGATGTCCTGAAAGTCCTAGTCTTAGAATTCTTATTAAAACCTCCCTTTGACGATAAAATGAAAAAGTGTTTTCTAAAACATCCTGGTTTAACCTACTAGTTATCGAATAATCGTATCTTAAATTTTGATGTTGCTCATATAACATTATAACAGCGTTGATATTCCATAGCAAATCATCAAAATATGGAGGTTTTACTCCATATCTTTTAATAGGTTGTGATAATCTAAGGTCACTAATAATAATGTCGGCTTATTTTAGGAAGTTTAATTGATTAGGATTTTTACTATATAAAGCGCAAGAAAAAGTATAATTTTTATCATAAAGATTTTTCAACTCAACCTAATTACAAAATAATTTATAAAAATATTTAGAGCCCAACAGTTTAGTCTTATACTGTAATACCATATTTTATGTCAAAGTTCTATTAAGGATTCTTAGTATAGTATTAAAATAAAAAATTTAATTAAATTTCAATGAAAAAATAATTACAAAGAGTTAAAATCTTAAAAAACCTTACTTAATAACATGAAATGCAATTAACGAGTATAAAAATAACTATTTAATTATTTGCATCATACATTCATTTAATAATTATTAAACATTTATAATACCAATAACATTTGTAATAAATTTACGCTATCTATCAACACAATCGCCTGCGTCCAGTGCATCGTTTCCCTGCGACCATTCGTAATAAAAATTGGACTGCCAAAATTGTGTACGGCGTGGTCTATCTATATGTATAGCGTTCACCTTGATATCAACAGTACAGCTTTCTGATTATACGGCCGGATATAAAATACCATAACCATAAGAAATTAATAGATTTAAAGGCTCACATGATGTCACGTTACAAGCTTTATAAAAATCTATTGATGTAAGTACTTATTCAATAAAATAATTATAAACTCTTCTTATTTTAATAACAGGTTATAAATTAGATCATAGAAATAATGATTATTAAGTGTTAATAATATTTAAATATGTCGACATTTTAGAAAAACGTAGAATACATATTAAATTTATTATTTAAGTCAGTGTTCGAGGTCAGTGTTCCGAGGGTTTTCTTTTTTTTTACTAATACAATTCCAAAGAAAAAGGAATATTACTATTCATATGTATATGTAAATTTTAATTTACTAAAAATCCAGAGCAATCGCCAACCGTAAAATAACAGCTCAAACGAAATCTGCTCTATATAGATTCAGTTTTACCAAAAGTACTTATTTACTTTATTATTTATATAGAAATTTTATGTTCAGCATTTTTGCTTACCTTAGAATAAGTATTCTTTTTTTTTTCTTTTTTAAAATGTGTCTTTTCACACTGATGATGTTGATAAACTAACTGACATTCAGAGATTCTAAGTGAAAGTAAGTTTTTTATGCCACGTTAACCCGTCTTTTATACTTTTCTTTTAATTCAATTAGAGATCAACATCATTAGTGTTTCCAGATATTTTTATTGACATATAATTTAATTGTGATCAAAGTTTACAATATTTTCCTTAAATACACAATAATATGAGTAATAAAATGATAGCATAATTTTTGTCACGTTAATACTATTATTACAACACACTAATTATTATTAATAAGAAGTACTTAATTTCTATATTTGTCACAAAAAACCCATGCTGGTTTAAAATATAAATTATCGTATCCATTGAAACAGTGAAAACTTTTACAAATTTTGTTAGTTTACAACATAATTTTGTCATATCTTTCAGTTGGCGTTTTGCATTCGACGATTCTTATATTCTCTCATCCATCTCAAATACGCGATAATATATACACAGTTAAATTCTATTTATCTTAAAAATTATTATCATAATTCTTAATTAATCTAAACGGTACTATTACAAAGTGAAGCACAGCATTCCATTAGTAAGTGTCACATTGTATAGATATTTATTTATTTGTCGCGATTTATTACTTGAAGTCAAAACAACATTTTTTAAAGATTAAAACAATTTTACAATTATTAATTAAAGTTTTATTTATTTACAGTGTCAAAAATTTATAAGAAATCTGTTATAAAACGTTTGAATATTTTAGAAACTAGAAATAAAAAATATACTCGTATCCCTCCTGAAATCATGAAACAAAATCGCCTGAAAGCTATTAATAAGATTTTGAATCGTGGAAATAATTTAACAAATATAAATATGTCAAAACGTCAAAAGTAATATTATTATTATCTTTTTTAAAATAAGTAAACAAAATTTCATATAAAATTAAACAACACAGAATAGTTAAATTACAAGTAATAAAACTATTGAATTCTCACTGAAACTTAAACAAACTATGATTATATTAAAGATATGAACGTATTTCAATATATAAAAATTATTTTATCAATATTTTTTTTTGGATATATACAATTGTCATTGTTATGTATAGTATTTAGAGAAAACTAAGCACAGGAATCGTAATATATTTTTATGGCAATTAAAAATTTAACATAAATTTGTTTACATTATAGCAACTATACAGTGAGTCTCAATGCATCATTGTTAGAAAATATGACAGGTCAAAATGAGCCGTCAGACTTGAAAAGGAAAAATTATGAGACATCGGAGATCAAAATTATTAAAAGAAGAAAAATGTGTCACAGTCCTAGTAAGTAAAATCGTTTTAATACAACATAATTTAGTTTCGTGAGTAAGAAAATAGAAATAAAAGTTGTTTAATTTTATATTTAATAAATATCTTTTCTAGTTCGTCATGATCAAATGGTTGACAATATTGACACGGTTATTCATAACGGCCATCATTATAATGTACAACAGGTTTATGATGCCAAAACGAATCCATTCCTGCAACGAATTAAAAGAGAGATATGTATGGCGAGTGGGACTATTATAATACAAATTCCATGAGAACAAATCTCAGTCATGTTAATGATTTCAATATTATGTGTATATTATTTTGTCTTATTTTTCATTTGTTAATAATTTCATATACATTTTGTTTACGTTATCAACTTTTTTTTTGGCAACTTTTCGTATTATTGCAAATATTCTTTTTAATTGTATTAAAATTCATTTACTCAATAAAAACTTATTTTTGTTTTGAATATTGTTCACATTATTACAATAAAAATAAATAGTGTATAGAAACAAATAATTTATTAAGGTTAATATTTAATTTTATAATTTTTAAAGTAATCGTTTGGTCATATTTTAAGTCTTTTTCAATATATATTTTTACATAGCGTTCATAATTGATATATAAATATTGTATTTATTAAAGCTGAACGTTGACTAGTGTAAATTTGACTGATGACAGACGCCCATTTACTTTTTGCTATNCTGATGACAGACGCCCATGACTTGCTATATTTTGTAATGTGCATTTTTTGCAAGTGTCCTATAATACATATTTAACGTTCGTATTATGCGTAAACATTTTTTTTGAACAGATTAAAATTGCATTATGAAAAACTCAAATGGTTAACAGGTAAATTGTAAAATCTACTCTCAATTATGTTTAAACCAATTTTTTTTAAAAATATTTTAGTTCTCCAACTTCAATTTCTAAAAATAAATATTTTTGTTTTTTATGCAAGATCTTACTAAAAAACTATGCCATTAATATATAATAATATAATGTTCATCGGAGATCCAAAAAGTTAAAGTAAGAAAATTATTCATAAGCCTATAATTGAACAGTGTCATAATTTTTTTTATATAATTACTTTAAGTGTATATCTTTCATTTTGTACACGTTTTATAAAAACTTTATATCTGCTATTAGATGTGATTTAAAATAGCCGTTTTTACAATAAAACTCTTGATAATTTTCGGAAAATACAGCATCCTTTAAACATATATTACATATATGTAAAAATATTGTTTCCCGATTCAATTCTAATTTTAAAAATAATTATGTTTATAAATATTGATGTATTTATAAACATTCGATTTTTACTTTATAAATATTAGGCTGTTTAAAAAAAAATACATAGCAATTTTATAGATACAAATTGCGATATTTGCCATTGTTATGGGCTCGTTTAATAGTTGAGGTCAAAACCAAGAATCGGAAGCTATCCGACGTCTGCCCAAATATCGTCCCTATCTCCTTAAATAAGTTTTAATTGCCTGAAGGAGACATAGGCAATCGTGTACCTTAGTTACACGGGATAAATTATTAAATAAAATTAGACTATTGTTTTATGTCAACGACAAAGTAAAGTTATATTTTAGATGTTTAGTAAATATAAGGTATATGTAATGTACAATACGTCTGACCTGAATCCTAGTACAGTTGGTTAGTAGGTATATCCAAGTGAGACGGAGCTGGTTGGCTCTGATGACAATTGGCGATAGACGGGCCGTTGAATAAAACAAGTAAGGTTATAAATAATATAAATAAGAAAAAAGTAATAATATTGAAAACTATGTCTATAACGGCCACTCATACACAACTGCCCTTTGTTAGTTCGACGTCAGTAGCTCTGGGTTACAGAAGAGTAGAATTGTCACATCAGCATCTCCCTCTATGCTAATTAATATGTATTACGAATTAAATAAATAGAAATAAAACGTGTGTAATATAAGTGGTAAGAACATAGTAATAAATGTTCTTACATTACCCTCTCCTTTATTAAAGGTTCGACTCTGAACCTTATAAAAGGTCAAAATATTAAGAAAAAGGGAAAAGAAAGAAGAGAAAAAAAAATTTGTCTAATAATGCTTTTTGAGCTTATAAGTTATGGTTCTCTTTAAAATTAGGGGTGGGAACCTTATTGTGTTCACGAATCTTCTTTTAATCTTGTATCTTCATGCGATCTTAAATAGTTGTTTTCTTACGTAATTAGTTGTGGTATTCGTTTTAATTGATAGTGGTGATATTCATGGTATATATTATAATTGCCTCCTACGACTTAGTCTGTTGTTCTCGAAGTTCATTACCACTACAAGATTTTTGCTTTTATTTACATTTCATAGGGTAAATTTATATATTAATGTTAGGTTACAAAGTTAGACTTATGCATTGCGATTGAATAAAAATAAATATATAAATCTTTTATGTGTTTAAATTTATTTTAAAATCAAAATTAATTTAAGTTAACCTAATTTATAGAATAAAAACGTTGCTAAAAATTCTACAAATTTACAATTTGCTATCTTACTTTTAACTAGACAATGCATAATAACCTGTATAAAATGATAAAAATAAAAATTGTGATAATGGAACTATTTTATAGTTATTATACTGTAACGTCACAAATTCGAAGGTGGACCGTTTATGATTTTTTGTTATGTCTACTTATTTATTTTATCGCGCGAAAGAACCTTTTTCTGACACAGCGGTGTCAACCACTCATTATTTTGCCTCTGACCGCTAGATAAGGCGATAAAGAGAAATATAATTAAAATCGAATTGTTTATCAGTATTGATCCCTTCCAAAAAGACTGGCCGTTATCGATTTGAAATTGCCGTTAGATCGGTGTTGACTCTTCTCTATTCTTTCTTCTGTCATTGACCGTGCTAGGGTGCACACATTTGTTGTTTTATTGACATATTTTTCAATGATGGAGTAGAGCCGCCAACGGCGAACGGCCAGATCTTTTCGGCGAAGCATCCAGACCATCGGATGGGTCTCTTCGGAGACCGGGTATCGTTTTCTTTTTTATATTATATTTATGTAATGAGCTATATTTTATTAATTATTTTATTGTAAATTAACTTAATTTTGTTTATGTGTGGAGAGCACGTGTTTCCCTTTTCTTCTAGCCAACGCTAAGGAGCGAGTGTCCAGACCGCTCCTGGTGTTCTTCATTAATTTCCGATTAACATTAACGGATGTGTTCCAATACCGTCCGTGATGTTTGTAATATTATTTGTTTAAATATTTTATTTTATTTGTATTGCCTTTATTTGTAGACATGGTTTTTGATGCATTCGCATTTTTGTCCATGTTTAACTTAATTTTCTTTTTTTAACAATTAAATTAAATTTCCTTATTAATTTCAATTGTAATATTTATTTTATTGCGCGAGTAACTTAATTACTCGCGTGTATTTCATTCCTATTCCTTAATCTAGACACGGGCTACGGTATGTTTTACATATCAACCACATACAACTTTGATTGTCATAATTGTGTTCTATAAACCACGAGGCATTATAGTAATTTATACATATAACGACATATTAACTTAGATAATACTTTTAATTAACTTAAAATTAAATTCTACCTATGGTCCGGTAATCATATCTGATAGGTGTGACACCTCGCGTAGGTGGTGGCGACCCTTGCTACTCTAGCTAGTCGTTATGCAAGTGACAAACCACGTTGTTGTTACAGGCCGAATTACTAATCTAAAAGCCCGCTTGCAATACAATATAAAAATATGCATGTATTTAAATAATACTTATTATATCTTGTCTACTAGTCCAACTGTACAGAACGTAAAAATCAGGTTTCGATACGTGGAATAAAAAATAAACAATTAGTCAATGACAGTTAGTTTCAATATATAATTTTATTTAGTAATATGTTATTACACTATAATTTAATGTGTACTGAAATAATATAAAAGAAAGTTATTAGACAGTTTGCCGTGAAGATGGCAGTTTTGTTTAAAGTTGTTAAGTTAATGTTTTCTTAGCAATCGACCTGTCAATGCCTGTAACATATCTAAAAATTAATTTTCATTTTATTTAACCATACCTTAATTAATATCATGCAGCACATTGACTTATATTAAACTGTATATTTGATTAATATGATCAGAAAATTTAACAAAAACTAGTATATCAATTGCTATTCAGTTATTGTAAAAATTTTAAAATGGTCATCTTGAGTTATGTGTTATATAGACTTATGTAAGTATATTATTTAAGTTCATTTTAAATAGTAAAACTTTTATCCTTATTAAGTAGCAATATTGTTTTGAGTAGAATTGTCACATCAGCATCTCCCTCTATGCTAATTAATATGTATTACGAATTAAATAAATAGAAATAAAACGTGTGTAATATAAGTAGTAAGAACATAGTTTTTTTTTTTTTTTTTTAACAAAATTTTAATTATTACGCTATCTGTTACAATATTGAACAATAAGCTTAAGTGATAACATAAAAAGAAAAAAAAAAAACAGACAGAAGAGACTGAGTGAAGAGACCTCCCATTGGAGGTACTTCAACATGAATATTAATTTAAATTTAAGGTATTAGTCCTAACATAATATTAATAATAGTGATAATAAGTTGGATTGATATATATACATTTTTTTTTTTTAAATTATAAAAGTAGGTCACGACACCACTGTCTTTTTAATCTTTTGTGGGGATTTCCTGGAATAGTTGTAGATGATAGTTGGACAATAAGGGGATTGGAATGATGTGTTAACTTGTTATTGAATCGTTTGTAGTGGAGTTTGGCTAGTTTAGTGACGGTGGGTAAATTGAAGTCGGAATAAAGGGTATCATTTGAAATATAGAAGGGAGCTTTGGAGATGACGCGAAGGACTTTGGATTGGAACCTTTGTATACGGTTTGTATTTGATACTTTGGCTGAGCCCCAGAGTTGCAAACCGTAGGACCAGATGGGCCTGAGTAGTAGTTTATATAGCAGTAATTTAGTAGGTAGTTTGATATTTTTAGAAGTTAGGAATGGCCGGAGAAGACGAAAACGATCGTTCAGCGTTCGAGTTTTATTTTTAATGTGAGCTGACCAGGTAAGTCGACGGTCGATGTTGACTCCAAGGTAGCGTACATTTTGGGCAGTGGGGAGGGGTTGGTTGTTAAGGAGGAGGGTCGGGCACACTCCTTGCCGAAGTGTAAAAGTACAATGGATCGATTTGGATTCATTCATTTTAACTCCCCATTCCTTGTACCAGGCTTGGAGAAGGTGAAGGTGGTCCTGAATATAGCTAGAGGCTAAATGAGGATCAGGGCTAGAGGCTAAGATAGCTTTATCGTTGGCAAAGTCACCGACAAGCGTATGGAGGGAAGAAGGTTGATCAGATATATATATGTTAAATAGGAGGGGAGCTGTGACCGCACCTTGAGGTACGCCTGCATTGATTAAAGTAGAAGAACATAGTAATAAATGTTCTTACACCATTTTACATTGTTTTCGAAAAAATAATGAAATTCTTTTGTTTCCCGTAAGTGAGGGAAATCTTCCAAAAAATTACAAATATCAAAATTGGTAATTTTCTACTTTTTTATAAAAATGAACATATTAACATAATTTTTTTTTAAAGATAATTCAGATATTAATGATGTGTTTTATTTTTTATATAAATGTGACCCTTTACTTGCCCACGCATAAGGTTTTAAAAGGGCAACTTTTTCGACTTAAATTTTGAAACTGTTTCGCAAATAATGACACATTTATATATAAATATATATATATATATATAATTAAAGCTTATGTAGTATACTTCATTTTGAAAAAAGAAGAATTCGACTTCTTATAGTGTATGGTACAGAACGCCTTTAGAAGGATCTATTTGACCAGTTGTTATAAAGATCGTTGATTATATTATTTCGTGGGACAGCTGATCACTAGCATCTTGCTTTACTCACCCCCTTGCTCACCCATCACAGCAAATCGATGACCTCCGTGTCGGTTTTCATCCATGTGCAGTTCATTGTCATAAGTCAGTCAGTCGTTTAGTTTTACGTGTCATTCCTTTTCTGTTGCAAGCGTCTTTGCTTGAATAGAAAATTATTCGGCCATTGTACGGCATAGTTTTTTATTTCTTGTTTATTGCACCCTTGTGCTCAAAGTTTACGTGCCCTTGCACGCCACTAGTGATTGGGCCATGACCATCACTAAATATCTTCATTGCCGTAGTCGCCTTTTCGCGGTCTGTTCTCATCTGCCATTACGTACCTGGATTTACACTCTGACTCGTCATACTCAGATATTCGACACCATTACCACAAGATCTCATACAATCCACTAATCATCATCAACAGCGTCATCTATACAGCTGAGTTTTATATTATTTTTAATGTTAATTATTGTTTGTTCTAATTGAGATTAATTATTTTGTTTTATGCCGCTTCGCCGGCCACTAGTATTTAAGGGCCCCCCGTTACCCCTTAAATTTAAGATACTCTCTGAGGAATTTCTAATATATGTGATTATTTGTTATTTAATTATTGTCTACTCTCGTTTACTTATTGGATGTATAGTTAGCTGTCATCTCCTAGGTGACCCACTCTCACATCATTATTAACGTTTTATTAAACAGGCTTAAGGTAAAACGGCATTCTAGTGCGGTGCACAACTAGCCGTCCTACGGTCTAGCTGCCTCGTACGCAACATATAGTCTTCATCTAAATTTTATATTTCTATATTTTCTTTATATAAAATACCTAACAAGGATTTGATATATTAATAATTCCACCAATTTTTTTATATTAGTTATATGAATCTAACTTAAATCGGTTACTCTACAGTCATTCACGCTTGAGGTACGAGATTCGAACCCGTTATTCAAATTGCCATTTTTTTGCATTTTTATCTTAACTCTACTTAAGGTGGAAAAATCCAAAAATTCCTTTAATTTTTATCTCATTTAGATTGAATAACTTCAATGAATATCAAAGATCCCGTCACTTTAGTCTATCCTCGTGAAAAGGAATTTCTTAATCATATTAAAATTATTTTACATTTCAGTTTTTTTTTTTTTTTCGTTAATTTTCCTCAGCTCTCACTTGATTAATTTTTTTAACAATATATCAAATAATCCCAACTATTATCTAGTAAATATATTATCCTCATAAATGAATAAAATTCTCCTTCATTACATAATAAGTTGCTTAATCATATAGACAATTAAAATCTTTCATTTCCAGTGTTTTAAACAATTAATTATCGAATAAAATTTGAAATAATCAGTTATAACTATAAAGTTGCATAATCTTACTTTTTAATTTATAAATTTTTTAACTCAATTTGTGAGTATATGAAACCAGTCTATAATATTCCACATTTTTGGTGACATATTACTCTATTAATTATTTAAAAAAAATGATTTTCATGTAATCATGTAAACATTAGCTGATATTTTCTCTTGTCTTAGGTTGGAACATGTAGCTGTTGTTTTATTTTTATTAACCATACAATTATGCATTTTTTATTTCTATGTCCTTACTCAGTAAAATAGAAGTATATAATATTTCAAAATTTTACTGTTAAATTATAGGCTTATGAAACAATTTTCTTATTTTAACTTTTTGGATCTCCGATGTCTCAAACTTTTTTATTTTGTGTAAAGTTGGAACATGTAGCAGATTTACCAGAATTACATAGACTATTTATATTTGAACCGTTTAGTACACGAAAGATGGAAGACACCGTAATTATCAACAGCTATTTGATTATTTTCAAATATCTCAGGAGTAGCACTAAGTTTAGCTCTCATGCTCTCTATTTATGTTATAACAGTCATATATAGTTTTTAATTTAATTTCATAGTATATTATGTATAATATATTATATAAAATGATCAACAAATTTCTTTTGAACACAAAAATTGTAATACTCGTGAAGTAAATTTTCTGCGTTGTTTAATTTTTTAGGCAATATTGATTACTTATTTATGAGAAATAATAAAATTACATTTAAAGTCTTGTTATTAACTCCTCATGTAAATCTTTATTTGTATCAGATGCTGTAAAAGATTCATGTTGACCATTATAAACTTGCTGATCTTCATAATAAGGACTATTGTAAGGACTTGAACTAGGAGTCTAGTATATTTGAATATTCTCCTGCGACTTTGCTGTATTCATATATAATGCATTATGAATCTCTTTTTCATCATTTAGAATAAGATCAATGAATTTTGCATAACTTAGTATAAACAAATTGGGAGAATAGTAATACACCACTTGTTTTCCTTTGGGTGTATCAATAAAGTATCCCACAGCTGATGTATTCTCATGTCTAAGGTTGGAAAACGTAATCGTTGTTCTTTAGTTCGTTTATTGTATAATAATTAACACAGTCCATATTTCTTTCAGTCGAAAATTATGCTATAAAAATTATACTTTATGTATAGCTGAAAAGGGATAAAAAAGAATTAAGAGTAGATTTTACTATTTACCTGTTTAACATTTGAGTTTTTCATAATGCAATTTAAATCTTTTCAAAAATGATGATTACACAGAAGCGCTCGAAGAGAAGTAATGAATTATAGGGTACTTGCTAAAAGACGCGCGTTAAAAAATATAGCAACAAGTAAATGGTCGTCTGTCGTCAGTCATATTTACACTAGTCAACGTTCAGCTATAATAAATACAATATTTATATATCAATTTTGAACGCTCTGCAAAAATATATTGTGAAGAAGACTTAAAATATGACCAAACGATTACTTTAAAAATTATAAAATTAAATATTAACCTTAATAAATTATTTGTTTCTATACACTATGTATTTTTATTGTAATAATGTGAACAATATTCAAAAGAAAAATAAGTTTTTATTGAGTAAATGAATTTTAATACAATTAAAAAGAATATTTGCAATAATACGAAAAGTTGCCAAAAAAAAAGTTGATAACGTAAACAAAATGTATATGAAATTATTAACAAATGAAAAATAAGACAAAATAATATACACATAATATTGAAATCATTAACATGACTGAGATTTGTTCTCATGGAATTTGTATTATAATAGTCCCACTCGCCATACATATCTCTCTTTTAATTCGTTGCAGGAATGGATTCGTTTTGGCATCATAAACCTGTTGTACATTATAATGATGGCCGTTATGAATAACCGTGTCAATATTGTCAACCATTTGATCATGACGAACTAGAAAAGATATTTATTAAATATAAAATTAAACAACTTTTATTTCTATTTTCTTACTCACGAAACTAAATTATGTTGTATTAAAACGATTTTACTTACTAGGACTGTGACACATTTTTCTTCTTTTAATAATTTTGATCTCCGATGTCTCATAATTTTTCCTTTTCAAGTCTGACGGCTCATTTTGACCTGTCATATTTTCTAACAATGATGCATTGAGACTCACTGTATAGTTGCTATAATGTAAACAAATTTATGTTAAATTTTTAATTGCCATAAAAATATATTACGATTCCTGTCCTTAGTTTTCTCTAAATACTATACATAACAATGACAATTGTATATATCCAAAAAAAAATATTGATAAAATAATTTTTATATATTGAAATAAGTTCATATCTTTAATATAATCATAGTTTGTTTAAGTTTCAGTGAGAATTCAATAGTTTTATTATTTGTAACGTAACTATTCTGTGTTGTTTAATTTTATATGAAATTTTGATTACTTATTTTAAAAAAGATAATAATAATATTACTTTTGACGTATTAAATCCTCGGCCATTCTATTAGAAAAGTTTTCTTCAACGTCAGGAATCTCAATTGATGCAGGATTTTGTTCTTGATGTTTTGACATATTTATATTTGTTAAATTATTTCCTCGATTCAAAATCTTATTAATAGCTTTCAGGCGATTCTTTTTCATGATTTCAGGAGGGATACGGGTGTATTTTTTATTTCTAGTTTCTAAAATATTCAAACGTTTTATAACAGATTTCTTATATATTTTTGACACTGTAAATAAATAAAACTTTAATTAATAATTGTAAAATTGTTTTAATCTTTCAAAAATGTTGTTTTGACTTCAAGTAATAAATCGTGACAAATAAATAAATATCAATACAATGTGACACTTACTAATGGAATGCTGTGCTTCACTTTGTAATAGTACCGTTTAGATTAATTAAGAATTATGATAATAATTTTTAAGATAAATAGAATTTAACTGTGTATATATTATCGAGTATTTGAGATGGATGAGAGAATATAAGAATCGTCGAATGCAAAACGCCAACTGAAAGAATTGNAAATATAAGAATTGTTGAATGCAAAACGCCAACTGAACTAATTGACAAAATTATGTTGTAAACTAACAAAATTTGTAAAAGTTTTCACTGTTTCAATGGATACGATAATGTATATTTTAAACCAGCATGGTTTTTTGTTACAAGTAAACTGAAAAATTATTATAATAATATGTTAAGGAAAAAAATAATGGATGTTATTGTGCATTTTATATAGCCATGTGTATAAAAATGTCAGCATATATGATATTTTGATGACTTTTTGTTCATAACCAGCTTACAATGAATAGAAATATATGTCAATTCAATATTATTATTATTCCTTCTCAATTTTCGAACTTTTAAATTCGCTTTTATTAATACAAGTTTAAAAGCGAATTTATAAAATAGCTTTCAAAAATTGTCTTGCCTTTCGCAAATTTTAAGTCTAAGTTTTAAATATTGAGCAGTTGCTGAAATCAATGTCAAACTTTTCTGCGATACTTATGATAATTTTTGTATGAATAATTAAATTTGACTCTTCTTCTTTTCCTCGCATTTATCCTAACTACTTGAGGTCGACGAAATTTATAACTCTAAATTTGACTAAAAAAAATTTGTAAGCAGCCAGACTATGCTATGGATTAATACTAAAAAAATACAAAATAAATTTTATGATACATAAAATTGTTATTCTTGAAGTATTACGTTTTTTATATTTCACAGCCATTTACATTAAAAAAATTGATAGTTAGTAAAATTGTTTAAAACTCTTATATAGAAAGATTAATTTTGGATTCTCAAAATAAATATACCCATAGAAAATTAAATGTTTAAGGTATGATAAAGAAAATATTTATTTATTTTCAATATTTTAAATCTAAAACTGAATAAAAATTCGTTTAAAATTCATACGAAGTAATAATAATGTACTCTTAAATTACGAATGTTGTTTCAAATGTACTTATATTAAATAATAAAAAATTTTGATTCTCATAAAACAAATTCATTGGGTTTTTTTTTATTATAATAGGTAAAGTATCTTAAGTACCATAAATGAATTAATAAAAAACATATATTTTTAAATATATGTGACATCGAGTGTTAGTACATTTTTCACTGTATATAAATGTTAATTTTTTATAAAAATGAATATTAAAAATTTAATAAAAGCTTTCTTTTTGTTCAAAAATGAAAAATACACATTATCTCAAAAACAGGTCCTGATCAGTCAATATTGAGTCTGAAGTCATTTTTGGAATAGCGACCCTTTAGTTTCGGCCTGGTTCAAAGATAGTTTTATAAGAAAACCGATTAAGCGTTCTGTAATTTTATTTCAAATTTCGGTTCAGTTTTATTGTGCACAATGTCTGTAAGAAGTTCTGTTATAACTGCAACCTCTGCCATAGATAATTCATACGGAATTTATACAATACTACAGTAAAGTTTTTCACTTATTATTATATAGCATATTTTCATTATTATTTAATATTATTAAGTAATAATATATTTTGTAATATGGTACGTGTATTCAAAATTAGTACACGTATTAAATTATTTGGCTAAGAAGTGTCAGTGTCAGTATTTGACAGAAATTTATACACATCTCACATATCAGGAAAAATTTAGATCGTATAGTTGATCTGTGAAAACGATACAGTTTTCTCGAATGTGCAAACTTTTTAACTTTCTAGATGGTTTTATCAAATTATCAAATATTTCAATTTAATTTCAATTAAATCCTATAGTTTTTTTAAAAATAATTCCATCAGTTCAAACAAATTAATTCTTATATTTAATTAACTCTAGTTTAAATATTGCTCTCTTAGTCCTCAATGGGAAATTGTCATAATGTTTCTCCAAAATTAAACAAGCATTTTTGCATTTTCTTATAAGTAAATTACAGATAAAAGTATTTAAGTATGTTTAAGTGATTATGTTGTTATTTAGACAAGGAAGTTTAAACCTTATGAGGCAGATAACATAAATAGTACATTAAAATTCATAATGCAAAATATACCCATGTAATATTTCTTATGTATGAGATTTAATAAATGCGTCAAAACTATTGAGATAAATTAACATTTTATAATTGATCAGTAGGGTTGACACATATTAATAAATATACCAATTAGGAATAAATAATGTTCATTAATCTTACAAAACAATTACAAACAATATAAAAATTCTTAAACAATTACTGAGTAGGTATTTAAAATACAAATATATAATAACTATTATATTGATGTACATTTTACTATATAAGTAAAGTTTAAACAATTAAATAATCGTTGTAAATTATTACCACGAAGGCGATTTTGAAAATAGACATATATTCTTATTGTATACTAACATAATTAACTATTAACGTACAATATGTATAATAAAATATTAAAATATTAATATTTAAAATTTAATGAGAAAAAATAATATAAAGATACATTTTATAAATCACAGTCAAATTTTATTGCAGGAATGTATATTTTCAATTTTTTTAACATTTAGTGTCACGTGCGATTACATAAAAAATTAATAATTTAAAAATGATTCGTTTTACTATAAAAAATTAATTAAAATAGCTTTTAAGTAGTACATCTATCTTTAATTTAAAATTAATTTGGCATAATTTTATTGATGTAAAAACTATTTTTTGTCATGTTTAATGTTATGGCTTATGGCACAAAAAAAAAAAAGGTAAGATTAATATTACACTATTTCAATTCTATTGTATTTAAAGTTTTTAAATTAATGAACTAATATAAACCAAGTCAAGTCACTAATTAATATTAATTATATAACTTAACAAGGCTTAATGTATTGCAAAAATTATTTTAAAATTCTATTATAGTTTAACGAAACAAAATATCTCAGCCAAATTATCTTGATACATCTGAGCATATCAAATTAAATTTGTTTAGCATTACTTTTACATCGCATTGGCTTTATACATTTTTAAATAAAGCACACAAACAAATAATTAAACTTATTATTTTAAATTTAAGTAAAGTACAATATGTTCAAGTAATAATTATTTAAGTAGAGTTGGTGTCATGGTAGTCTTCATAGGAACACCCAACACATAAAATACATTCGAATTAAACTAAAATACATATAACAACAAAATTTAAGTAATTAATTTCGTATTTTTTTTTTATACAAAGAAGGCCTTTTTAATACTGAAAATTTATTTTCAGTATATAATACATTAGAATTCAGTTATGTACTTATCGTTGTCTATCACAGGCCTTAGAACACAATAGTACACGATAGCAGATGATAGTTAAATTAATTTTCATTTGAGTTTATAACATACTTACATAAATTATACGTACATTTTATATTGTAAATCAATTTTTAACATGTTATGATGAAATTATATTTTGATAATTTATATTTTACATACCTAAGATTAATAATATACACAAAATTATATAAGGTGTTCAGTAAGTAAGGAAACGGGTCTCTACTGCTCTCATTGTTTGTAACAATTGACATGTTTCCTTACTTACTGAACACTCTGTATAATTATAACTATCGTCATACTAAAATTTATAACTAATAATATCGTTATAAATTACTATTTATATTTTGATTCGAGGGACGTTTACAGTTATTATTACTTCATAAATGAGGTTAACTTATTAATAATCACATTAAAACAAACCGTCTTTCTAGGTCAAGAAGAAAACGATATCTTGATTAAATTTTTGCTAAAACGCAAAAAGCGTTGTGTGGGTATAAACTGTGACAACAAACTAAATGGTTCACTTGACACAAGTAATAATACCCGTATTTCTATTCTCAGAAGAGAGAACATTTGGGAGTTGAGGATGTACTAGACGGTGGTACTTTATCTCTGAACAAAACCAGAACCCTTATAGTATCTGGCTAAGATCAAACATTATATGAAAACTAAGTAAACCAGAGGGCTATCTAGACGTGGATCGTCGACCTTTAATGGTTGCTTGAGTAATCGATAGTGGCTGTGGCTTAGCTGGCGTCGTATGTGTGTGTTGATGCTTTGCTAAATGGGCTTTTTGTCTGAAACTTTTTCCACACACCGTACACATAAAAGGTTTCTCTCCCGTGTGAGTTCGAATGTGAACGTTCACCGAGTATTTATCTTTAAAGCCTTTGCTACAAATGTGACAATGATGCAATGATCTTTCTTTTTTGGCGGGTGGATTAGTGGACTGATCATCTACAGAATTGGCAGATGATGTCGCCGAAGACACTGCTATTGCCGATGAGCCCAACTTTGTTTTACCGTTGGCAAGTTGAGACCGGCGGTTATACTTTTTAGCTGGTGGCCTGCTTACTGGAGGTGATGAAGATGTGGATACTTGTTCGGGTTCTCTGGGGTCTAGAACCACTGTTGTTGGGATTTGTGAGATATTTGCCACCTACAGAAAATAAAAATTCAAATGATACAAAATAAATATTTTAATAAATAATAAACTCACCTCTGTAATGAATGATACGAATCCCTGACTACTGTTGGGACAGTACTGTTGGAACGAAGGAGACATATCGCTGTCAAGTGCTTCAATGTATTGAAAGTCAAAGTCTGGCAAGAGGAGATCATCGACGTTTTGCGAAGAACTACCGTCGCCGGCTACCAGTAATGACATGGACGGCATATCATCATCTATCATCACTATAGTATTACCATTTATGCCACTGCTATTGTTGGTCGTGCTTAACACGTCTTGCATGTCTACTGTGGACGTTGACGGGTACGAAACATCCGGAATAGAAGTTGGTACGGGTGACGAGTTTTGGCTATCCGAAGCTGTTGAAACTGATGGTTTGATATCCTTGTCGATATACCTGTTTATAAATTCATTTACTTTAAAATTACACTGATAAATTACGTTGTATAGGATAGATTTTTATTTACCTTTGATGATGGTTATGATTAGTTTTACCTAATAAGGCGTTTCGAAGAAGTTCATCGCCGGTGTACTCTACAGACTCTTGTTTGACAACGTAATCTGCATGTTCTTGTTTAATGTACCTACAAGATTGATCGACTGGATCCCCGCCGTTCATCGACAGCAAAGCTTCGTCAAAGTTAGTGACTGCACTACCACCCTGGTGGTGTTCAGTGAGTGCCGGTATACACCAAAGTGATTCACTGGCACCTCCGTCTGCATTATTGACCACTTCAACAGTATAGATAGCACCGTCCGTGTTCAGCGTTCGCCATTGATCAGCAATGTCTGATTTATCTTGGAACGATGTTGGCGCACAATCCAAATCAAAACCGTGTTCACCGCCCATAATAGCTTCGAACCCGTTGTTGTTATTGTTATTGTTGTTATTATTATTATTGTTGTTGTTGGCGAAAGTGAATTCGTTATTGTTTCTCTCTGTGTCAAATAAATTATGATAAAATAAATTTGCTAAATTCGCTATCTTAAAAATAAACCCACAAACAAATTGATTTTGTAAACTTGACACGAGAATAAAAATAAAAAATGCTTATAATTTTATTTGAAAGTGTAATTATGACTTTTAAATTATCCTAATCTTGGTGCTTTTTTTTTTTTTCAAAATCTGATGCGTTAATTTCATTAATTTTTTTGAAAACCCGACAATTAAAAAAAACTAATAGCAGTTAATGTAAATAAATAATATTTAAAATGAAAAAACTAATTTTTCAAAAAAAATCAAGTTATCATATTAAAAAAATCTTTTTTTCTATAAATTATTAATAATTTCAATACTCATATTTTATACTTGTCGGATTTTTTGAAAAAATATTCAGATTTATGATAAAAAATTTAACATTTTCAAATACCTGAAAGAGTGGGGTCGTTCAACAAATGATCCACGGATGTGTTTAGCCTGTGTGATCCATCGTGAAGAGACTCTAGATGTAGTCCAAGCTCCATAAGTCTAAGACTATCACGGTTGTTCGCGTCTGACCCATTGTCGCCCGAATAAAGCGCAGTCTTTAAGTAATCACTGGACGCTACGTCCATAATATTTTGCAATTGAGTTTAATTTTAAACACTATTTGAGAAGTACACCATTTACATTTTTAGTGACACCAATGATAATCACTACTGAAATGCGACTGAAGTAATAGTTCTACCTGCAATAAAAGAAAAATTTGCATTAGATAAATATTATAATAAACAACAGTACGGGGGTTAGGAATGGGAAATTTGCGTACACACATAAAGTACAATTATATAGAGCGCTATTATTATACAATAATATAATTAGCACGCAAAACTCAAGAACAGGTAATGTAGATGATTTGTGAACAGTATTAAAAGAATCGCTGAAGGGACCGTAATTAGGAGGATCACATTAACTTATTTACCTTTTGTATTCGTGAATTACACCTATAACAATGATATTGTGTAGCATACATCACATTCTTATAAGAGTAATTCATATAAGTATTCAGTATGAAAAGTGAAAAAATAGTTTAGGTTCAAACTAAATGTAAATTCAAAATACTTTACAAAATGTATACTTAGAACAGAAATAACAATTACGTATATATTATAAGTCACAAGATACTTGATGATGTTTTGGTAATTTTTTTTAATACTACAAGACTAACTTTTTACAATATTATGCGATTAAAAGTCCATACAAATTAGATAAAAACACTATTAACCTATAAATGTTTAATTATTGATCGAAAATATTTAAATCAACTTATAAAAAATATTTAACAAGTTGTTGATCAAATAATTATGTAAAATGGAGTACGAAATCAAATCTCAGAATGCAATAAATTGTTTACAATAATAAATACTTAAATAAATAAAACGTATTTTAAATTTAAGTTTTCTAAACTAATGAATCTTCGCATAAATGTTTATTTAAAGATAGTTAATTAGTATATCAGATCTCCAAAACCGCGTTGAAACTTAAACACGAAAGCGTATATTTCTAATTATTGAGTGATCAAGTACTTTTCACTCATTAAAATCGTTGAAAAATAATACTTTCACATTTCGTTTCAGATAATTTATTTAGTAGAATATAATGTATATATTATATTTATATTAATCGTACGGAATGCCTAGTGATGTTCATAGATTTTTGCAGGGCGGAGGACTACCTTATTTTTTTACAACTAAATGCTCTCAAAATACTTTTAACCAACTCAACCTACTCCTCGGGTTTTATATATAATTAAATTATTATTGTTTTGCAGAAGACAAATTTTTTTTATATTTATCTTTAATTCATTTGGATACTATTTAAAAAAATATTAGTTACTCTCTTAAAGAATTAAAAAAAAAAATCTAGTTCTTATAACTAATAAATCAACTAATTTAAGATTTTGTAAGTCATTAGACATAAAAATAATTATGTAGCTACGAATTAACTAGCTATATTTTGCTATAATTAGCTATATATTTTATATATTGGAGCTATATTTTAACTTTAGGATAGGTCAAAAACTGTCATGAGGGGTTAAACTTTTCTCAGTCTTGTATTTTGAAATGACGGTTGTATGCCGTATTCATTGAGTTTATGCATTTCAAACGATCTGACATATATTTTAATCATCTTGTACACCTCATTTTTTCAAACAACCTCTCATTAACGAACTGTATTCAACTGTGTCCAACCGAACAAATAAAGATTCCGATGTAATAGCAATGCACTAAAATTGTCATTCATCATTATGTAGATAGAATATCCTGTTTAGTGGAATTGTTGGCCGCCTTAAATCAATAATTTTGCAAACTGAAATTAATCTAGACCTTAATTGATATCAATGATTAATTAAATTGTGTATACGTTACACAACACTTTGTTCTACAAGCTTCAAAAAATATTCAGGCCATCTATCACTACTTATTTCTAGAAGTATTAAATATATTATGCATAGTTTATTAAACCAGTTAATATTATTAATCAATCTGAAAAACGGTTAATGGTCAATTCAGAGTTCACATATTCTTCCGATGAGATAGTTTCTCAGCGGTAGACGAAGTATTTTTGTGTTTAGGTAGGTTACAAGAACTCTTTTGTACAATAAAAAAATAGTAGCGTTTAATTTACAATCTGTCAGTTTTGCTTTCGGTGTAAATACTTTATTATAGACAATAGCTACAAAATTATACAAAAAGTTTCAACGTAAATTTACTAATTATCATTAACTGTCTTGTGGGACGAGGCTGTGAGAAATAAATGTAAATTCCTAGCAGCTAATTACGTATTCGGATCTAACATCCGTTAGATGTTTATACATATATATAATGAATATTAAATTTTGACAAGGTAGTACTATAGTTAAATTTAAATTTTCAAAATAGAGTGACATAATTTTACTTTGTGTGCAACTTTTTCGTCTGAGTAACATATTTTCTAATTAATACAATGCTTAATTATCCATAAAATATATAAACGCATATAGTATTAAAAAAACCCTCTGATAATTATCTCTAAAGACTGTGATATTTCTTTAAGTTTCACTGGTGATCGACAGTAACACAATAAACGAAGGTTATTAGCCCAGACGTGAAATTTGGTTAATGAGTAAAAAAGTAGACGTATTATATCGTAGGTGGATACGGTTTTACAGTAATTGCATAATGACGTATCGTCTACCGGTTGTACTATAAATTGATAACAAGTTTAACCTATAATACTCGTCAATACATCAGAATTAACGACCGGCTGTTATGTCATTCATGAGTAAGCTTTAGAGATTTTGTGTTAGTGCATAGCAAAGCCTAAAAATGTTACAATAAGTTATGGCTATAACATTAAAATGGCAAAAATATAAAAAATTCAAAAAAAAAGGTCTCAAATAACGTAAAATATCGTCATATAAAAAAATATATAATTAAAATTTAATTATACTAAAAACGTAAAAAAAATTAAACATTAAAATATTGCATTAGTAATTGTAATATAACGTTATTTAAAAAATTTCATTTATTTTAAAATAACGTATTAAGACAAAGTATAAGGTAATCAAAATTTCAGATTGATCGTTTTAAGAGATAAAATTGAACACATGCTTTTTTTCATTTTATTAGTGATGCTATTGGCAACATTGTTATACCATGTATAAACATTAAATTAATAATAAATATTATATTTAAAAAATATTAAACAAATTCTTTTATTATTAGTGTCTAATATTGAAACTGTTGTTTAAAAATATTTCAAATAAAATTCTACTCATTTTTTATTAGTTATGTGTTCACGTGTGTTGTTTTTCATTAACTCAAGAATTATATGTAAATGATATGTTATAACGAATCATGTATTTTATTACATTAAATTTTATCATACGTAATACAGTGAAGTCTTCAGTCATCGGAAAGGCTGGGGCTAAATTATTTTCTGTTATGGAAAGGTTTAAGTTGGATAGAAATAAGTATTAGATGGGTTTAAAAAACTGGGTATAAAAATATTTTTTGATCAGGGGTCATTCTATTGAGCTAAAGTTTCGTTATACTATAAAAATATTGCTACATTAAATTATTTTTAAGAAGTTTGTAAGAGATTTCACTCTATATAAATTACTTAAAAATTATGTATACTTTATGTCAGTATCGTCCTGTGAGGGGGTTAGGAAAATTTAATCGTTTAAGTCGGCAATTCTTTAATATAAGAAGACGCTACCAAAAAAATATTTATTCAAAAAAAGGTCGCATAATTTAAAAAACTAAAAATACTAACAAAAATTTAAACACTGAACCATAAATTGTATTTCGTTTCCAGTTTGCCAATTTTATTTTATCATAAAAGGTTTGTTAGGATAGTCTATCAAGTTTCATTGTATTCACCACTGTAATGATATTCTTTTTTAACAATAATTTTATCTGGTCTATAGTTCATCCGCATTTCGAAATAAACATCGTTAAATATTAAAACAGTGAGTTATACACAGACATATGCACGAGGTACTTGGAAACATATACAGGACGTGCACTCACCACCAACACACGAACAACCTGAGGCCATGGTAACCTACTTCGGTCCTGCTACGACGGCTTTTTACTTAAATACACACGCACACTAATACATTAGTACGTATGGATATACTGACTCGTACCACGTACACGGTAGCGTTTTTTAGTTAATCAGTGTTTTCAATCGAGAATTTTCTTTTTGGAAGCCGCCACGGTTAATGAACGTTGCCAGTAGTACTTGGTTAGCATCGTGTTCAGCCCTATGTATGGTTAAATCTTTACTTTAGAACGTTTCAGAGCAATTAATTAAGATTTTAATATACCGGAAACATTTGGTAGACTATTTAATTTTTACTCGTTGTTTCTCTTTACAAGTATTGTAATAATTAGGTAAAGTTAACATAGAAATATTAAATTGAATTTGCGAGAAAAATAAGATCTTTAGGTTCATGGATGTCATTTTAATTTATTTTTTTTTAGTATGGATGTACATCTAAATAGAACGGGATGAAGTCGAAAGAGTTTCTTAAGTCTTATTTGGATGCTGAGAAATTGAGACCAGAAAGACTATACCTCAGGGATCAAATTGATAACATAGAATTTTAGGTACGTTTGACGTCCCAGATTTAGTCCATCCTAATTCATAGTTAGATATCTATCTTTACATGAATGGGAATGGTATTAATGCACTCAATTATTATAAGGATATGTACATTTTTAGGTAGCCGATTAAACCTTTTTGGTTTTCAAAAATTATTCACATTCATTTAAATTTTAGTTATCGTAATATGATATGATAAAATTATTAGTTAAGTATAATCTTAAAAAATATTCATCCGTGTTTTTATCACGCATAAATGGATTAATGTAGCGATGGTACAGTTATCTTTTTATTTAAATGGACTACATTTCAGTATTTCATAGAAAGTCAACTCATTGACATCTTTAGATAGAGTGATACATATCAGTATTAAATAGAGTTAGTCATCGGTCCATACGTAATTGCATAACAATCCAGTAAACCTCTTGAGACGATTAACGTTTCGAGTGAGTTTGGTGGAAAGGTTCTGATATAATTGCGCAAATGTTGGTGACAAGCAACAAGTTCGACTTGAACACATACCGCAATAGTCAGATAGGGATCGTTTCGTGGGAAATGATTCAACGTATTAGGATTACAAAAAAAAAAAACAAT